TTTCATTTATGGAATACCAAATATACACTGGAAACCTTACATTTTTTATTCATTTGATCCTCATGAGGTGGGTATTATTTTCCCCTTATTTAAGATGAGGAAACTACGGCTCAGAGAGTGTAAGTAATTTTCTCCAAGCTCACCCAATTGGCAAACCCAGGTCTGTCTGACTCTAGAGGCTGTTCTCTCAGCTACCAGTCTATCCTGTGTGCATTCCCCTCTTAGGAGACCCACAGAGCACTATACTATAGGAAAGGCTATGAGAAGAGAAGTTCTACAGCAAAGAAACCTATTTAACTTAGTATGCATTCCCCAAACTTTAAAAATCACGTACCTTCCTTTTCTTTGGGGGGAGGGGTGGTGGTGGTGGCAACATCACTATCAATGAACTGTGGGTTCATTAATGAATCCTATTATTAATCCACTATTAATGAACAGTGGATGCAAGAGAATTGAAAACATATTTCCATACAAGAACTTGTAAATGAATGTTCATAAGCAGCATTATTCACGGTAGCCAGAAGATGAAAACAACTCAAATATTCACCAATTAATGAATGTATAAATAAATTGTGGTATATCCAAACAATAGAATATTATTCAGCAATTAAAACAAACTATTGATACATGCTACTTCATGGATGAACCTCCAAAAAAAATTCTGCTAAGTTAAAGACATCAGATACAAAAGACCACATATTGTATGATTAAATTTATATGAAATACACACAATAGGCAAATCCTTAGAGACAGAAAGCAGATTAATGGTTGCCAGGGGCTAGGGAAAGTGCATAAAGGGGAGTGATTGCTAATGGGTCAGAGGTTTCTTTCAGGGGTGATAAAAATGTTCTGGAATTAGATAGTGGTGATAGTTGCACAGTCCTGTGAATATACTAAAAACACTGATTTGCACACTTTAAAAGGGTGAATTTTATGGTATGTGTCAATTAAAAGAAAAAAAAAGGTTAAGAGCTACGGCTGCTAACCAAAAGGTCGGCAGTTCAAATCCACCAGCCGTTCCTCGGAAACCCTACGGGGCAATTCTACTCCGTTCTATAGGGTCGCTATGAGTCGGAATCGACTCGACAGAAATGGATTTGGTTTGGTTTCTGGTTAAGTGTACTAAGAAAAAATCACAACAATAGATCACTGAATCCTGACTTACAGATCATTTGTTCTGCTGTTTTATACTGTATAATTAGTGGTGCTTTAGAGCTTGTTGGGGTTGCCATCCTCCCCCCAATAGACATAGCCCCCTAATTTCTAAGCAGAAACACCAAACAGGTACGGAGGAGTGAGGACAAGCTTGGAAACTGAGGGGCATCAAAGTGTCACTGTGGGTGGTATCACACATACTGCTGGATTTTTACCTGCTAGATCTGCTTAGTTAGCCTATTTTGACAACAGTAGAGAAAGCAAAGTTCCTAAATCCTTCCTTGTCACCGGAAGGTTTTAATTCCAACAATTGATTATGCCATGTACTTGGCAGAAAGGTATTGTTTTATTTGAATGACATCAGATTCCCCTAGGTTTAAAAGAATTTTAAAAGAATAAACCAATGAATTATAGAATTTAGAAGTGAAAAGGGCTTCAGAGAGAGCTTACCTGTCCTGATTCTCTTACTTTATACATGGAGAAACTGAGGTCCTGAGAAACGTAGTGGCTTGCCCAAGGTTACATAGCCAAGCATGGCTAAGACTCCTGGTTGTCTTCTCAATATCTGTTCTCCCCTTCTTCCTTGGAAATGATGCCCCCCCCCACTCCTCCCCCTGCCCCCCACCCCCCATTTTCAGCTTGTACATGATTGTCTGGAATAAAGGCCTCTCATAGTGAGATGTGGTTGTGTGAATAAGTTCCAACCAATGAAATGTAAGTGGTGTGAGCAATTCCTGGGAAGTGCACTTAAAGGTCAGGGGTTTGGAGTGGGTCATGTCCTTCCTTCCTTCTGACTGGATTGCAGATTTGATGGCTAGAATTCAAGCAGCCATCCTGGACCATGAGGTGGAAGCTGCATGTGGAGAATGGGGGATCAATAAGATAGAATTCTGGGTCCCTGATAATTACAGATCTGTCATACCAGGTCTAGAATGCTCATCTCCAGACCTTATTATGTGTGGGAGAAATAAACTTCTATTTTCTTTAAGCTACTGTTATTTCAGTTTTCTGTAATTTACAACCGAACTTAATTATAACTGATACCAAACCCCGTTGCTGTCGAGTTGTTTCTGACTCATAGCAACCCTATAGGACAGAGTAGAACTGCCCCATAGGGTTTCCAAGGAGCGGCTGGTGGATTCGAACTGCCAACATTTTGGTTAGCAGCCAAATGCTTAACCACTGTGCCACCAGAGCTCCAATTGTATCCAATACAGAATATAAATAATAGAGTTGGGTTGGGAACTCAGGCCTCTTGAATCCAAGTACAGAGCTATTTTTTATGATTATTATTATTAATAATAAAAGCCAGGCTGTGCCAAGTGTTTTGTATATTAAAAACAAAAACAAAAATTCATTCTATTGAGTGGATTCCGACTTATAGCAACCCTATAGGACAGAGTAGAACCGTCCCATAGGGTTTCCTAGGCTGTAATCTTTATGGAAGCAGACTGCCACATCTTTCTCTCATGGAGCAGCTGGTGGGTTCAAACGGCTGTCATTTCAGTTAGCAGTCAAGCACTTAACTGCTGCGCCACCAGGGCTCCTTTTTGTATATAAGTTATTAACAGTTTTGGAGTGCTTATTATATGCTAGTCACTGTTTAAGTACTCTAAAAGTATCACTAATTCATTTAATCCTCATATCAACTCGGTAAAATAGATGCCATTATTATCGTCATTTCTATTTACACAAAGAAGCTGAGGCACAGAGAGGTTGAGTAAGTTGCCCAAGATCACAGTCTTAGCCCCTACATGACACTGTGTCTTATGATGTGAGTTCCTCATCATCCTATATACCCATTTTATAGAGGAGGAAACAGAAGGAGGCAATTGTCTATTTGAATAAAGTCTCTCTGCTAGTCAGGGGTGCAGCCAAGCATTAGAAGCCAGCTCCTAGCTCCCAATCCAGAGCTCTCTCCCTAGACCACCTTGTTGTCTCAGAGGCCACCTGGGCAAACATATCCCCCACCTCCAATTCCTTGTCTCCCCTTCCAGCGCGCGCACACACACACACACACACACACACACACACACACACACACTACACATCAGGCACCCAGACATTTTTGTGGCCAGGGTGGCTACAACTTCCTTTGTAAAGCAGCCAGATTTGCCCTTCACCAAATAACTTTGTTTTATTTATAGTCTCTTGCTCAGAGCTTTTGAACTGACTGCTCATTCCAGGGAAGATCTTGATAACAACTGTGCCTTGGAGAGGGTTCATAGGAAACAAGGTGAATAAACACCACAGAGCCTTTGGCTGTCTAGCAGAACTTTGCTCCTGGGGGTGTTTATAAGTCGGTGTTGGTGTCTGGGTGCAGAAGACTTTGAATTCAAAAAGGCAGTTTGGACATTTCCATTTTTTTTTCTAATAAAAAAAAAAAAGTTCACCCTTTGCCTTCAACAACCTCAGGCCGTAGGCGCAAGAGAAAAATGATCTTTATCCAGAAGATGACGCCAAAAGATGGAGTCTTTCCTTCTACTTAACTTTTTGCCTTCTTTGCCCACTGCCTAGCTGGGGACTTAGGATAAGTTACTGTAGTGACTGTGGGAAGTAGGGGGAAAGACATTCCATGAACTTGCAAGAGCTGAAATGGCACAAGGGATGAATGACATTTTGGAAAAGGGGGAAAAAAGCCTAATTTCAAAAGTGACCTAGAAGCTTATAGTGTCTTCTGACTTGTAGTCAAAGGCGCCATGCTAAAGCGTGACTATGTCACATATGTCTAGAATCATTCAACCAGTGTGCTAATCTTGCTAGCTGTGTGACCTTGGGCACGTGCCTCAGTTTCCTCTTTGGTAAGTGGAGGATAAACTCATAGGATTACTGTTGAGGATTGGTAAGAATGATGTATGGAAAATACAGTGCTTGGTTCAGAGAGAGCACTTGCTCACCCCCTCATTAAGTGGTAGCAATGGCAGCTGTCATTATTGCTTCCTTTGTGATCCTTCCAGGCACAGAGGGAATGAAATTGGGGTGTTCATAAAAGTGAGCCCCAAGGTGGAACAGAGGTAGGTAGCAGGTTAGTGACATTGGCTCTCAAATACCTTCACTTGCGATGAGTTATTCTCTACCAAGAACTGTTACCGTGACATGAGGTTTTTGTATTGGAGACCCAAAATGGCTGATAAAGGGAGGCATAGGTTCTCAAGTGTAGGGCAGAGCTAAGCCACCATATGGATCCTATGAAACGAATAGGTGGCTTTTCTATGGGTGTGTGGGGTCTCCTTAAAGGCCTGAAGAGAGAGGAAGGTGTCTCTATCAAGGACCATATGGGGAAGTAGATGATGTGATAAAGAAGAGCAGGGGGCCTGTGACTCCCTCAAGGAGGTATGGGATTTTAAAGGGAAAACGTGAGTCTTCATCAAGGCCTGAGTGAGACAGAGTTCTCTATAAACAAGAGCTACTGAGTGGAAGGACTCCTTAGGGGAGTAACTCCATGAGGAGGCCTGGGACCATGGGCTGCAGGATCATCTGGGCTCTGGGATTTCGAAGGGATTTGGATCTCTCCAGGAGAGTTGCGAGTGGAATTTTCTGCGGGAGTAAACAGTGGCACGAGGGTCCTTAGCGGCCTGCAGAGATGAGGCCAAAATCCCCGGAAGCAGCATACACTGAGCTGGGAGAGACGTGAGGTTCCCCTTTCCCCGCCCGCAGGCGGCCCCGCCTCCCGCGAGCGGACTACACTTCCCAGCCGTCCCCGCGGGCGGCGGCGGCGGCGGCGGCGGCGGC